AGAATAAATTATCGGAGCACTCAATTTGTATGATCTTAAAGATTGGTGCGCCTTTTAAGTGCAACAAAGATTAACTCCCCTGTTTGCCTTATATCATATATAAATATAATACATCATTTTATTAAATATTTATAGCAGGCCTGCACAATATGTGGCCGCGGGTCAAATGCGGCCCATCAGCATCCGATGAGGCCGCAAAATAACGAAATATTCTTTATTATATTCTTAATAGCTTTCCCCATGTCCAATCTTCTTTCGCCCCACACATGTTTCTCATAAAGTATTACTGCCCGTCTTAAATTTTGAGTTCTGCAGGCCTAAGTTACAGCACCATATTATCTAAATGTGTTAAATACTCGTAGAACGTTCCTAAAGTAGTCATTGTAGAGAGAGAGAGAGGGGTTATCACATTTCATTATAATATTAATACACTTGAGACATGTATTTTTATCATTCTCCAGATATCAGTGTCGGTTCCTTAGATTTTCAATATGCTGAAGAAGGCAACTTAACGAAGTTGACCTTTAGCATACCAGCTACACACGCTTTGATTTTTAATGGCATTTATTATAGTGTTACAGAGGATCAAGACATTTTTTACGTAAGACTAAACAATAATTTTTATTTGTGTTATTTACAAAAAAGTAATGACTTTTTTTCTTGATATAGCCTGTATTTCGACCCTAGGTGTTATTCATCACTAATCGTAATACGCAACATTATCTCCCCTCCCCTTTTATTAGTTTTGGTATTGACGTCATTGATTTAATATGTAGCGCTGTACCATCACCACTCCTCACTTGATTGGGAAAAGGTTGTTTACGCATGAATATTTTCTATTTTAATCAATAGGAGGCCATATGGGGATGCAATTTCGAGAATTTCTTTTCAGGAAGATTTTCATCTTTCTCCCTATAAATAAGGCGGTAGCTTTCCCAGCGGAGAGAGAGATTCCGGCATCCTTCCGTCTCGTGAGACGATGGTGCATCACCGTTGGTTTGGGTTGCATTTTCTCGAGTGGCTGTGCAGTCCTATCCTTGAGTGACAGTCTTTACCACAGTTTTTACACACGAGTTCCGTGCTTCCAAATGTTTTGGCCTTTCTCCTAGCTCTTCTGTCTGCAGCATCTTCCATTCTTCGTTCCTCGGCTACCATGACGCCCTCTTTGACAACTGTGCGCCACGTAGATCGGTCTTTTGCCTTACACTCCCAGTCACTTGTATGGATTTTGGCTGCTTTCATGTCCCTTTGACAGACATCTTTAAATCGCAGACGTGGGCGACCTGTTTTCCTCTTTCCAGAAGCAAGTTCACCATATAGGAGGTCTTTCGGAATGCGGCCGGGACTCATTCTTTTAACATGACCTAGCCATCTCAGGCGTCTTTCACTAAGGATTGTGAACATGCTTTGGGTATTCGCACGCATTAGGACCTCACTATTAGTCACTTTTTCTTGCCATTTAATACCAAGGATGCGACGCAGGCATCTCATATGGAAGCTATTAAGCTTGCGCTCTTGGGATGTATAGGTGGTCCATGTCTCGCTCCCGTATAGTAGTGTACTGATGACACAAGCTCGATAGACGCACAGTTTGGTTTTCTCCGTTAGCTTGGTGTTTTTCCAGACCCGTTTATTTAGTTTAGCCATTGTGGCAGCTGCCTTGCCGATTCTGCTGTTAATTTCTTCTTCAATGGACAGTGTGTTGGAGACTTTGGACCCCAAGTTGGTGAAGCTGTCCACAACCTCCAAGTTTTCGTTATCGATTTTTATGTTAGGTGGCGGTCGAGTGTCTTGGGCCATGATGTTTGTCTTTTTCAAGCTGATTTGCAGACCAAATTCTTGCAGGCATTGGAGAAGCTTGACACGAGTTGTTGCAAACCAATTTCTGTGTGTGCGGTTAGAGCCGCATCATCCGCAAATAGTAGCTCGCGAATTAGGACATCTGTCGTTTTGGTCTTGGCTCGGAGGCGGGCAGTGTTGAAAAGTCCTCCATCAGCTCTGGTGTGTAACCAGATTCCCTCACTGCTATCCTTGAATGCGTATCGAAGTAGTACAGAGAAGAATATTGCGAACAGTGTTGGTGCGAGTACACAACCTTGTTTAACTCCGCTGCTGACTGGAAAGGCTTCTGACTTGGCTCCATCGAACTGCACTGTACCCTGCATATTTTCATGGAACTCTCTGATGATGGCAAGTAGGTGAGGGGGACAGCCGATTTTTGCCAGTATTTTGAATAGCCCGTTGCGACTGACGTAATCAAAGGCTTTTGTAAGGTCCACAAAGGCAATGTACAGTGGCATCTGCTGCTCTCTGCATTTTTCCTGGAGCTGTCGTATGGAGAACACCATGTCTATGGTAGACCGCCCAGACCGGAAACCGCACTGAGATTCTGGATAGACACGGGATGCTAGACTCTGTAAACGTGTTAGTATGACACAGGCAAAGGCCTTTCCTACAATACTAAAGAGTGAAATGCCGCGATAATTATTGCAATCACTCCTATCACCTTTGTTTTTATATAGTGTCACTATATTTGCATCCTTTAGGTCTTGGGGGATGTAGCCCTGTTCCCAGCAGAGGGACAGAATCTCGTGCAATGGTTGGAGTAAAGCTATCTTACCACTCTTTAGAGCCTCTGGTGGTATTCCATCATCCCCAGGCGCTTTTCCACAAGCTAGACTATCAATAGCTTTGCTCAGCTCTTCCTGTGAGGGCACGACATCAAGTTCTTCCATGAGTGGCATATCTGGTATGTCATCTAGAGCGGTGCTGGAGACTGTGGTAACTGTTGAATACAATTCCAGATAATGCTCAACCCACCGTTTTAGCTGTGCTGCCCGGTCTTGGATAATTTCTCCATTTTTGGACTTTAGAGGAGCAACTTTGGACGTCAAGGGGCCAGTTGCCTTTTTGATGTTTTCGTACATTGCTTTTGCATCACCCATATCTGCAGCTGACTGTATGCTGGAACAGAGGTTAAGCCAGTAGGTATTGGCGCAATTACGTGCAACCTTTTGGGCAAGTGACTTGGCTGTTTTTAAGGCATGCAACCTGTCGGGTGTAGGCTTTTCCTTGTAAGCCGTAAGAGCTTTCCTTTTGGCTTCAGTGACAGGTTTCATCTCGTCCCAATGTTCATCAAACCAGTCCGTGTTTTTGTGAGATTTTTTGCCAAAGGCCTGTATTGCGGATGTATAGATTGTGTCTCTGAGATGCGTCCATTTCGAGTCAATGGTGACGCATGGGGACATCCTTGAGATACCTTCCTTCACCTTGTCTGTGAACAGCTGCGTTAGCGCAGGGTCTTTCATGCAGAAGGTATTGATACGTGGACATCCCTTTTTCTTGGAGTGGTACGAGTTTTTCCTCATTATTCGTACCTTGCTGGCGACAAGGGAGTGATCCGTGTCACAGTCGGCACTGTGATAGCTGCGAGTGAGTAGGATGCTAGCTAGTTGTGCACGCCTGGTGATGATGAGGTCCAGCTGGTGCCATTGGCGGGATCGAGGGTGTCTCCAAGATACTTGATGTATATCCTTGCACTTGAAGTAAGTGTTGGTCACACACAAGCCTCGTGAGCAGCACAATTCCAGAAGCCTCTGTCCATTTTCATTAATCTTTCCTCTTCCAAAGAGTCCAAGGCATGT